ACACACACACACACACACACACACACACCACAGCTCCTCCCAACTCAACGTGATGTCGCGGTCTTCGTCGACTAAGATGGACGAACAAGAGCAACAATCATCCACAATAAGGCAAACGTCTTATCACCGTGCTGTCTGTAATTGCTCTCAATTCTATGGCCACTGGGTGGGTGGCGAGAGCAATTTACATTGCCACGGTCGAATCGAGAGGAAAACCTGTTTGCTGGATCGTTCTAATCCGGGTTGGCCAAACTAAGGGGGAAAATATGAATACAAGCATTCATTAAAGCGGAGGTCAGACAGAACCATATCCTCTGATCACTCTTATCGAAGCCTAAAAACAATCTAAGCGACCTGCATTTAGACAAATTTATAACGCTTTGATTTCACATGAATGAAGGCAGCAAAAGCTTTAGCATAGCCTTTTCTGTCTAAGAATGTGAAGAAAATACATACTAAAAATGTATGATAGGCGCATTTCCTGTGATCTTTCAATCTTCTCTAATACCCGTATGACAAATTTGTATGTAGTTTTGTTCATGCTTGTATATGTTTAGATATCCCCCCCGGCATCTTTTGTTCTGCCTACTTTTCATTTTCTTAAGGTTAGATTTTTCGCTGAGCAGGTTTGTAAATCAATAGGTGGATAGAGGTATTTGAATGTCATAGTTTATGCTTGTTTCTGAATGAAACATGAATCGAATGTGAATCCACGAATACCGGTTATACAAATCTTATAAATTATAAAGATTATAATATATATATATATCAGTGATCATTGTTGCATTGTCCGGGCACGTTAGATTCAACAATTTTCTTCCAATTATGAGTACACAATTGGGAGGATATGTAACATACATATTATTTTTAACTTTCTGTACCAAACGAATTCTAAAAATGTGTCACGTCACACCAATACATTTCTTTATAAAAAGAGCCGTTAATTTGGTCACTTTTGCCAATCATAGACAATGCAATGATATCTTTAGAGATTATTACAACACAATTTTTGTAATCTCTTTCCATCTCTTCACGAGGAGAGTGTGTGTGTGAGTGAGAGAGATGAAGAGAGACAGATAGATTGAGAGAGAGAAGAGAAATAGAGAGAGAGAAAGAAAGAGAGAGAGAGAAAGAAAGAGAGAGAGAGAGAG